GAGGACTGTGCTTCCCAGGGGATTCATCACACCTGTCCGGTGTGTCTTCCTTGCTGTCGGAGTGGATTACTGGTTGGAAGGTAGAGTCTTGGTGCCTGGCCCTGCAGAGAGTGTATAAATGGACAGTCCATGAAAAATCAAAGGCAGAAAGCCGGAAGGGCATTGACCTCCGTTACCCCGAAGGGCCTCTATCGAGATCCTGCAGCAAAGCAGTGTTCTGCCTAGGCACACTGCCAGGTAGCCTGTCTGTTCTGGTCTGCGGCCTGCTAGAGGGGATGCAGAGAGTCCTGCTTGGTGACTTGTGTCCTCTGTGCTACCTTAGGGATGTCAGTGGTCCATGAAAGTAAGAGGGGTGGATGTTGCTGTTGCTACGAAAGGGTGGCTTTAAATGTGGGTTGGGGAGTTGTCACAGTTCATTTTGTTGGGAGTGAGGTGGGGGAGGTTGGTTTGTATGTGGGGGGTGTAGCTCCTGTTGAACATGCTTTTTGTTGTGGAGGGCTCGGTGGACAGTGGGAGGCAGGTAGGTGCGCTCTGCTCTACACTAGAGTAATCTGTCAGACAACAGGGGACTGGACGGTCCTGGGAGATGGATGGTCTCATTGGTGACAAAGGTGTGTTGGCCAGGGTGCCAGATGGTGAATGCCACCTTTGAGAGGATACCTGCCCTGCCTGCATGCCGCTGTGGCTTTGTGGAGGATGGGGCGGACATGTAGAATAACCGGTGGAACTGACTTGAGAGTGGAAGAGGGCGTAGGAGCCCCTCAGGTTCTCCCAGCCCCTCTTCAACCTGTGCCGGGGTGTCCCAGCGACGGTGTTTCCCCATGGCCCCAATCAATCTCAGTTGGAAAGAAACAGAATGACAGGTTGCTGTCAATGTGGCCAGCGTGTGCAGGATTTCCTGGCCCAGTTTGGCTGTGCAACCTCAGAGAAGTTGTCTGGTAGCCGTGGAGCCTCCGTAAGTGCCTGAGGCTCACACCAGCTGTCTGGTTAGGTGTAGTAGGAATGAATGGCCTCACATAAGTTTCGAGGCAGGCCTCCCTCAGCTACTTCCATTTCTCTAGGTTCCCTTTGTTACCAGCTGCTTATGAAATTGAAAACAGGATGATCTAGAAGGAACTGAGCTTGCGATGCTCAGGGCTGTCCGTGCTGTCGTGGGCTGCCAGCCACTTGGGGTGGGGTCTCTAACCCACAGATGGTGACTAGACTACAGTGAGATTTGGGTAAGCTTTTGGGAGAAGTAGGCACAGAAGTAGAGGCTGTGGAAATGTGAATTTCTCCTGAGACTTGAGGACGGGCCCCAGTCTGGTGCTGGGAGCATGGTCATCCTTACTGCTGGTGGGCATGTGGGAAGGGGCCTGGATCGAGGGGAGCTTAATACAGGTACAGTTGGTGGAGAGCTGGTCTGTCTTTTAGCAGGGTGGTTTTTGGGCAGTCATGGCAGAAGAGTAGGGAGTGGAGGACCTGGCAAATATGGGGGCTCATGCTCAGTACTGCTTAGCAGCAGCAGTGCTAGTAGAAGCAGCAGCAGGATTAGTAGTGGTTGGTGCTCAGTAGCAGTAGCAGCAGCAGTGCTAGTAGCAGTAGTTGTAGTAATAGTGACAGTGAGTACTTGAAAAATAGTATGTACCAGGAACTGCTATGAATTCTTTTCTTTCTTTTTTTTCTTTTTCTTTGTCTTTTTCTTTTCCTTTCCTTTTCCTTTTCCTTTTCCTTTCCTTTTCTTTTCTTTTTTTTTTGAGATAGGATCTCACTCTGTTGCCAGGCTGGAATGCAGTGGTGCTATCTTGGCTCGCTGCAGCCTTGGCCTACTGGGCTCAAGCAATCCTCCTGAGTAGCTGGGATCACAGGTGCGTACCACCATGCCTGGTTAATTTTTGTATTTTTTGTTTCACTTTATTGCCCAGGTTGGTCTTAAACTCCTACGCTCAAATGATCCTCCCACCTTGGCCTCTCAAAGTGCTGGGATTACAGGCAGGAATCACCGTGCTCAGTCAGAAGGCATTCTTTTACCCCTACTTTCGAGAAGAGGACACTGAGTGCCATGTAGTTATATAATGTGCCCAGGGCCACACAAAGGGTAAATGACAGAGCCCAGATTCAGTCTCAGGCACGCTGACTTAGAGTCCTGACCATCTCCAGACTGTCGTAAAGGTGTCTTGAGAACTCTGTCTTCAGTGTCTCTAGCACATGCTTCTTGAACTTGGCCTGGGGATAAGTCAGATGCTGAGAGCTCCCTGGAGCAGTGGGGCATGGCTGTGGGAAATGAGATTGGGGATTATAAATTACCCTAGGTTCCTAGGTCTCCTGGGGCCGGAAAGTCAGGTGACATGCTAGAGAGTGGCTGGGGTGCTGGGCAGGTCAGAGCACCAAGGTACATTCAGGTTGACCAGGAACCCTTTTTTTTTTTAATGTTTTTCTTTGAGGCGGGGTCTCACTCTGTCACTCAGGCTGGAGTGCAGTGGTGTGATCTCAGCTCACTGCAACCTCCATCTCCCTGGGC